ACTATTTTGTTCTTCTTTTCATAGTAATTTTGTCAGTCCAGTTTTGGGTTTCTGTGTGTGTTTTTTTTTTTTTTTTGGAGGGAAAGGGGATAGGGGGATCATTTTTTTCAAACTTTCCTGAACCAAGGTGAAGAAAATAATTCTATGTTTGAGGTGGAGGAGTAGTGCGAATGGCTTTATTAGCTTTCTTACTTTTAATGACCTGCAGTTTAGCACAGTTTGTTTAATAAATGACATTTATTTTGGTCTGTCTTTTGATCTTTTGTTTGCTCTAGTTTGGGCTTCTCATACTATTCTGCTGACCCTGGGTATAAATGTTTTCAATTAAATGTAAATTAAAGTTTGTGCTAACTGTCCGTTATCATAGTTACGCTGGGGTATACACCATGGAAAGCTTACTTCTATTATGTATTGTGCATGAATTTTAAAGGATTACAATTTGCAGGATTTGGATATCAGAATTTAGAAGAACATCATTATTCTCTAAGGACTTCTGTATTTCTTTGTCAACTCTTGGGAATTATACCCTGGAGTTTTGTTGTTTTATTCTATTTAACATTATTGCAGACAGAACTAATGGCAGCAGTGGCCCATCTAGAGTGGCTGCTGACAAGATTCCAGCTGCAGCAGGGAGACCAGCCCTGGCCTCTCACGCCACTGTGCAAGCAGGAGCCTCGCCCTCCCTAGCAGACACTACAGCTGCCCTCCCAGGTGCAGGATCCAGACTTCTCTGCAGTCTGCACCCTTGGAGACCAGGAAAGCCCCAACTCCACCATCTACACAGGCTCAGGGGTGTCTGACCCCACTACCTGCCCTCTTCCCGCTCTCTGGACATTCCTCCTACCACATTTGCAGCAGTTAACAAGTGCATCTTGGGGACTCTAGGGTCCATGAGTCCATAAGGTGGCTACTAGAGCCTCTGCCCTTTTTCTACATCTCCCCTCTCTTTTCTGGAATTCCTCATGGTTCCCACTGCAAAAGACTGAGGTGGTCACTCCCAGGAGGCCCTCCAAAGTACCATCTGGTTCCTCAACCTGTTTCTGCAGCCCCCTCATGACATCAGGGGACACTTGTGCAATAAACTCATCCCCTACGTCCAGCTGTTTCTTAACCAAATCAGGATATGGAGAGGCACACTTCACCAAGGCCCCTCCCAGCAACCCCCGAAGAAGGCAGTATGACTACCATCCAATCACTGGTTTACCATCGATAGCTCAGTGCAATTGAGAGGCCTGGTCCCAGTCCCTTGTAAGCCTTTCAGTATGAAAACCTGAAAGTGTTTTCTCCTCCCTTCTCCCATTTCATCATTGAGGGCTCATTTAGGGTCCTCCAATGGTACTGGCATTCTTCCAGCTGGATAAGACTCCTCCCTTCCCTGGCCTTCTATAAGATATTAAGCTCATTACTAAAATTCCCTGCCACTGCAGGGTGCCCTGCTTTTCAGTGGTGGTGAGGGTTTGACCCAAAAGTAACATGATATCCTTCCAGGAGAGCTCAAACACTTGGGCTAAGTTGTAGAAAGCCTCTATATACCTGTGAGGGCCATCTGAAAACTTGCCAAGATCCCCCTTAATTTGAAAAGGGTACCTGGACCTTCATGGGAACATATTCACCAGGCATCTGTTATTGGAGCAGCTGAGATTGAAACCTGCCTAAAATGAGCATTTCTAGGTTGGGGCAAACTTAAGAGAGAACCCACATAAGGAAGAGCAAAGGGGCTTGATTCCCCTGATGGAGGCACCTCTGGGATTTGCTTCCATATTTCCATGGGACTGTCCCTTGCAGCCTCTCCTGAGATGGCCACTAGGAGTGCTTAATCAATCCCACAATCTCAACAAAGGTCCAAATTGCCCTTCGAGGCAAATAAGACCTGTGCAGCTGGGACCTTGGGCCATTTGCCATCACATTCACAGAAAAGCTTTCTTCTTCAGGCCATGTTTCTATTCTGTGCTTAAGGTGCCTGATACTAAATTGCCAGCAAAGGAAATGACAAGAACATTTTTGCCACAAATTTATGTGCAGATACCAAGGCACACTTTGCTTCATCTGTGCTGCTCTTAATTTTCCATTTCATACTTTTGATGACTAAGCCAATTGCACATTCTACCCAGTAATATCTCTGGTTTGCAACAACATCTTTAACATTTAACATTGTGTATAAAGAAGAGATAGGAACCTTGACAGCCACAAAAGAAAGAAAGAATGAATGAATGATGGGAAAGACTGGAGGTCCACATGCCAACACCCTAATGGGCAGTCAGGGACCGGAGTTAGTCCAAGGTATAACACCAAGGTGTAGCATCAGCCAGATACCCTCATTTGCTCCAAAACCTTTTTCCAGTCCTACCTGACAGCTAGCTCATCATTAGGGGAAACTAGGTTGAAACAAAGCCAACATTCCCAACACCAGAGGGCGATGGAGGATTGACAATGTCCTTTCCAACAAGTCTGTTCTCCATGTCCTAAGTCCTCGCAGCTGTGCTAGTCGCTTTTAACTGGCTGACAAAGGTCCAGTATTTTTCTTTCATTTTTACTGTTGTGGAATTTAGAGACTCCAGTAAAAGGACAGTAAGAGCAGATCTGCTTTTACTCACCCTTCCACAGACCCTGGATGAGCACCCAAAATGTTATTGGATCTTTGGGGTGTTACTTTTCTGACCAGAGACCTATGTGGCTGGTGGTGCCTTTGTCTGTCCTTTGAAAAGGTAAGGCCACTTCTGAAGATGTCTCATTGGTCACTGCCCCTGCCATATTGTCATCAGATGCTGAAAACTTCCAGGACCTGCTCTGATGAAATCTTTCCTGGAAACTCTGCTGCTAGAACTGTGAAGTGAACTGTTTTCCTTTTTGTGGAGAATGGGGTCTTGCTATATTGCCCAGGCAGGTCTTGAACTCCTGGTCTCAAGCTATTTTCTTACCTCTGCCTCCCTAAGAGCTGGGATTAGAGCCATGAATCACTGTGCCCAGCCACTGAGTCCCTCTAGCGTGCAGCATGTAAGACTCACACCTGTAGTCTCAACTCTGGGCAGTGCTGACATGCCAGCCCCTTTTGATCTTAGCCTCCTCTGGGCTTTGGGCACCCACAAGTGTGGGACAGATAACCAAGGGGGGCGCTGAGGATGGCTTGTCACTGGCCTGCAGGTGCCTGTTGGTGCAAGCAGCTTCGGTGCTATGAACAGTAGTGGAAGGCAGACAGGCTTTCAGGGAGAAGGGGGTGAGTCCCCAGTAAAGCTCTACCTTCAGGCCAGGGAAGGCCTGAAGTCTGGAGACCAGGCTGCTAGTCCTGAAGACCAGAGTGGGGACTTGTGGTGTCTTTTCTGGGCCCACTCATGGCTGCCCATGGATCAGTCAGCATGCGCTTCCTCCCCTACAAGGTCCATAAAAGCCCTGGCTTCAACCAGAGCAGAGGAGAGGATGGAGAGATGATGGGAGCTACCCTCTCTGCTAAGTGCTGGACACTCGACAGGATGACCTACTTACAGAGAGGACCTACCCACTGCAGATCTCCTTTGAGTTGTTCTAAGACTCAATAAAGCTCCTCTTTATCTTGCCCACCCTCCACTTGTCTGCATACCTCATTCTTCCTGGACACAGGACAAGGACTCTTGCAAGATGCCACCAGCCTCAGAGGTTTCTAACCAGAAAAGCAACACCCCAAGGATCCCATAACAGAACTATAGTATTGCCTCCAAAGCATTATTTTCACCACTTCTCATACTATTTGAAATGTCATATATCCTCCAAATCCTCAGGATATACTTTTATATGCATCTATACGTGCATCTTTATATACATATTTAAAATTTCTACAAGTTAATAAGAAAAATAACCCTTAAGAAAAATGTGGTCAAAGAAAATGGACAGTAATATGTATAATATTTTCATAATTCTTTATTTTTTAGAATTCTTTTGTTTTTCAGATATGTTAAGACTTTCTTCTAATTCCTAATATTTTTACTATAATTTATAAGGATTCAGGAATTCTCCCTTGCATTAACTCATTGAAGAGCTAAGATTTGCCAGCTAAGTTCTAGGCATAGTTCTAAAATTATAGAATACAGACATTTTTCACTTTCTAAAGTATTCCTTACACAAAAGTACTTCATCTTAAAGATAAACCCAGGGAGATCCATTACACAACTCTAAGTAGCACTATTTCCAGATTATCAATGTGTTGATTTTAGACAAAATGTGATTTTTCTAGTTTGTTGAGCACTTCAGATATGCTTATACTTTTTAATAAAACAGTCAATAATATAAAGGAATCTTTGGTTGGAAAATATCACAAAATAGAGTGAATTTTTTTTTTAATTTCGTTTTCATGAATCTTTCTGACTCTCAATTTGCCTTTGTGCAGTACAGGAATTATTTCAAACAGCTAAGCTGCTAGTTAGTAGATATCAAGGAAATGAATATATACCACTATAGGATTCACCCTGATTTAACAAGAATCACTGGAAAAATATAGAAAGCAATTGTAACCAAGAAGTTTTCAAACATATGTTTGGATTTACCCCCACAGCTTTAACTTCTTTGTGACTTTTGTTAACTCAAATTCCTAGTTAAATGTTTTCAGTGACACCTACTCTAAGATTAATATTAGGCCCATAATTCTGCTTTTTCCCCATTTTTCTTATACTACAATATGAGAGGTAAATGTCACCTTAAAGTTATATCTCACTGATGACAGTTATTTTTGTACTGTTTCTCATCAGAGGCCTGGTTTTTTACATGTTTATGACCAAAGTTTATCATTTTTCATCAGTAACTATGAGGCTTGCTTTGTATTTTTATTTACTTTACATTAATATAAACCACTGCATTGACCTTATATTAACATATTAGTGATCTGTGCCAATCTTACATGTGAAATTGGAACAGAATTTTAATGCAAACATTTGAAAGATGAGATTCTACAAAGACCTTGCTTTTATATATATGATAAAGAAATATTTGCATCCAAAACCAACTGTTAGTAATCCTGTGCCTTTTTTCCACAGAATAGAATGTTTAAATTTCATCCAATGAAACACATTTTTGAAATACTTGATAAAATGAGATGCCTGCGAAAACGTTCTACAGTGTCGTTCTTGGGAGTTCTTGTTATTTTTCTCCTATTTATCAACTTGTACATTGAAGATAGCTATGTTCTGGTAAGTTTTGAAGGTTGTCTTTTCTTCAAAATAAGGCATAAGTCAAACAAGAATTAGTCACATTGTAACCTAACTTCAACCTCAAGCTACTGGAGAAGACTTAGATTGAACAAAATTATAACATGTATATTGTCTATCTATATTTCTTTTGTACTTACCATACTTCAACATTACACTGCTTTATGTTCCAATATTTTTAGTGCTGTATATTTTGTGCTCCAAATATGTACATGTAATTACAAATAAGTTATCCATCATCACTATGCAAAATTAATATTATGTGGAACCATTAAGGTTTGAGAGTTTTCATTTGAAATGTATAGAATAAACAAAATCTGTTTAGAAAGTGTGACTCTTTACTTGCTCTACTTTTCTATATTATCACTGAAATTTTCAAAATTCCATTATCTAACTAAAATGCTTTTTAATTGTGCTATTTCTATAAGTAATATTTTATTACAATGTGTACTACCTTATTTGGATTTTGAATAGGCCTAGATGGTCACTCTGTTTTGTATCCATACTCACTGAAAAGATCTTAAGAGATAAAGATATTGATGTGTAAATTATTCAGTAATTAAAAAGAGATACCAAATATTGTTAAGTAATTACATATGAATAGCTTTATTAGGGAAAGCTTGACAATATGCAAAAGGACTTATTCTGACTAATTATGAAAATTAATTTGTTCATTTCAATTTTTATTATCATTTCATGTTTGATGAGATTAATATGGCCATTATTGCTATTCACTTTTTCTATCTTAATGGAGCCTAAAGTATCTCAAATTTTGTATGTTATTATTAAAATTTATAGGTTTCAGAAAATCAAAACCTGATTACAGTTATATATTTCAGAAATCAAAACCTTTACAACAGGTGCTAAAAAGTGATTTTCACATGCAAAAATGCTGAGAGTTTAAATGAGCATCTTAACAAGAGATAGAGCATTTCAAAAAAAAAAAAAAGGCTTTAGTTTGTTAGCCGAACATGATTGGTTAACTATCTATTATTTGCCAGATACTATGCTATATCCTATGAGTCAACCATACCATTTTAGTTATTCCTGGGAAGTCCAGATATTCCTAGGAAGTCCTCTGTAAAACATCTTGCATCCTTTAGCTCTGTTCTTTGGTGGTGAAATTGTGCCAGAATCCTGGATTTTGACTCTGCCTAGGGTTTTTGTCTTCAAATAGTGGTTCTAATGTTGTGGACCCTTTGTGCCTCTTTCCACAGTCTATCTACAATGGCTGAAATCACCATAGGTTAACAGTAGGATTTGAGTAGGTATGATTTAGGCAAACGTAGCAAACAGGAGAAACGTACCAATGTTACGCATTTTTGAATATTTTTTAAACCTATTAGCTGTATGAGATATAAAAAGGACAACAGAGCAAGGACCATGTGTTCTTGCTATTTTTCTCTTAATATAATGAAAGATCATAAGTTAACTAGAGATTCTCTTGATTAATGATTCAATTTTATAATAAAAATTTATTTACTGGTTCTGTGTCTACTGGTAGAAGTAAATCAAATCTTGTAAAACAAACACATGTTTTTGGTTGGAGACTTGTTACTTGTTGAATTTGTAAGAATGTTTTGAGTACAATTTTAATCTTTCACTTTCAAGAAACCCAAAGGACCATCATATGCACCAAATGCTTTTATGTCTTTTGAAATAGAACCTGTTGAAATTCACTGTAAAATGAGTAAGAAGTAGTAGAGTAAATGTCAATAAGAAAATAAAATACTATTTTTCCGTTTTGCAAATTTTTACAGCGCTATGTAAACATTGGTCTTAGCCACCAAATGTAGATAATACAATTTAAGCAAGTAGCTCTTCTACTAATGGTATTTTCTCAATGAAATTGCTCTGATTATATTAGGCATATATCTACTCAGATTTGCAAAGCAGTCCAGATGCAGAAAACAGATTGCTTCATAGCTTTCAAAAATTATTTTAATATACTTACAAAAGTTGGAAAAAAATGAGTTAAAGTGATTGTTAAATTCCAACATCCATCCCTTGTGGCAAATTTGATGATAGTATTTTTATTATTTAACAATTTACTAACTGATGTTTTTAACCAAATTGCATTTTAACTGAATTTTACTTCAAGACTGTAAATTAAAAACTTTTTCAATGATTAATGTTAAATTGCATTACAGTTATTTTTCTAAAAATGAATAGTATCCATGGAAAACTGACCCCCTACAAGAATATAATGCAGTTCCTTTGCAACACTTCTCACTTTTGATCGTTTCACCTGTGTTTATTTCATTTTTCATAAAATCATCTGATATCATTCTTCTTCTTTCTTCCAGATTATCACAATGTATGCAATTTGCTAAGCACTGACCTTAGTAGATCTTTCATTTTTCTCTTCCTTTTTTAAAAACTGGGAAATAGTACTTCTAATTTGGACCTATCAGGTGAATAGTTAGAAGTAGTAAAGTCTTGAGTTAGTTAACACATTCTATTCTGTTCTTTTTGTTAGAAAATCCATTTGTGGCCTGAAATCTTAGGCATATTGGCAGTTTAGTATATTTGCTTATGTATTCGAGATATATGTGCCTTTAAGTGAAAAAGGAATCTACACTTAGTGTAAGAGACAAATACCATTACAAGGCAAACTAAGTAGAAGAGACACTGCATGCCCAATCAACTTAGCCTTTTGGCGGTGAGCATCTTCAAAGTAGCCACAAGGGTATATATTTAGTCTGTAGCTAGTTCATTGAATTGCATTCCCATCTAGAAATGATTGTCATAAAGCTTTGTCTTATTACTGACAGATATACTACAGCATAGTAGCTACAGAAAGAAGGTATCTAGGGAGAGCCTGGCTGTTCAGGTAGATGCCTCTGGAAAGCAGCCAACAAGGCTGACTTAGGTGAAAGTTGCATTATTTATTTATGCTGAAAAGTCTAAAAAACTTGTTCTTGAGAATTTAATCAAGTGATTTCATATAAGTACCATTTCTTGTTATATTCTGTTATGTCCTTAAATTAGGATGAATGTACTCCATCTTATAACAAAAATTTCTAGATTTTATGTGTTCAGGATAGAATTTTTAAAGAGTTATTAAATATCCAGCACTTACTTTAAAATGTAACATCACATAAGAACAGAATGGTAAAATGAATTTAGTGCTGTGACTACTGTACTTTTTTAGAAGTTTCTTTCAGGCATTATTAATTATGTACACCACTATATTAGTATTAAAAGAATTGATACTAAACTGAGTCACTGATTACTTTTTGGCAGTTCTAAATTTGCTTATTTTAAACTTTAATGATGTTTGATGGGTTTGCCAACAGACACCAATGAAAATATTTTTGTGTAAAGACTTAAAATTGTCAGAATTTAATAGATAGTAAATTAGTATCTTTCCAAGTAATTTAGCATCTAAGGTTTAATCTCAAGTACTTGGAAAATTTATGGCTTCTACACATGGCAACTACATTGTGAACCTTATAAAGGACTAAAGTATGTCTTGGTCCAAATTATCAAGGCAGTATAAAATAGAGAAATACACTATTAAATACCAAATTTAGATTTATAAACATAATCAGATGTACAGAAAATATATTCAGAATGAATCTTGATTTAGTAAGGACCAAGCCTCCAGTTAAAGTCCCTATTTTCAGTTTTTATTCTAAGAATATTCAAGTCTGGCCATAGATTTGAAAGTTTGATATAGTCATCTTTTTCACTGGTATTTGAGATTGATGTGAAGTATTGACTGTTTCAGTTGAGGTAAAACTTATATTTTGAGCTTTCTCTAATTTTTTAGAACAAAGCTTTAATTAACATTTTAATGACCACAGCAAAATAGTATCAGGACCAAAGTTATTTAATCCATTTACTTTCTCTATAGTCTTAATGGCTAGTGCATGGCTAGCTTGATGTTCTATACTGAATAAAATAAATCCACATAAGGCTGGGCACGGTGGCTCACATCTATAATCCCAGCTCTTTGTGAGGCTGAGGTGGGCATATCACTTAAGGTCAGGAGTTTGATACCAGCCTTGCCAACATGATGAAACTTCATCTCTGCTAAAAAATTCAAAAATTAGCCAGGTGTGTTGGTGTGCACCTGTAATCCCAGCTACTCAGAAGGCTGAAGCAGGAAAATGGCTTGAACCCAGGAGATGGAGGTTGCAGTGAGTTCAGATAGTACCACTGTGCTCCAGTCTGGGCAACAGAGCCAGACTCCGTCTCAAAATAAATGAATACATAAATAAAATTTAAAAATAAATAAGTAAATAAATCCACATAACACCACATAGAATGCACATTTTGCAACACAGAACAATAAAAAAAGAAACATTTATTTCTAATTATGTTTCTCTCAAACATATTCTATGAATTCTAGTAAATCACATACAAGCCAAACAAATAAGTCATTTTTCTAATAGTATATGAACAATAAAGGCTTAATCAAATGATGATTAGATAATCAAAATTTACCATTTAGCTTATATAAAAGAAGGGCAACTAATGACTAAAGGATATTTAACCTGAATATGAATATGTTTTCTTGAATATAAACCTTCCTAAAGATGTAATAATATACAAAGTCTGACACAAATAAATAAAAGAGTTCTAAAATATAAAAGGATCAGACATTACATCCAATAGAATCACACACACACACACACACACACACACACACACACACACACACACTTACTATTACGAGTAATTTTAGTCCAAGATTTCTAACCATTACCTTGATTTGGTACAAATGTGTCCTAGTTGAAGTTACTTTAGGACATATGAAAATAATTACTGCCATATCACCCAGAACTGGCCCTTCTCAACAGCTACATAGTAGCCACGTAAGAGACTTATCTAATAAAGTATCCAAAATCCAATTATTGTGTCGTCTACTGCATCTTCTTAATCATTCCTAAAGCTTCACCATCATGAAGGCACCTATGTAATCTTTTATTTGAGAGTGCTTGAGGAAGAGTAAATAAGTCAATGTGGTGGTAACTAGCCTCAGATTAAATTATAGATTACTGTCAATTTTGAGATCCCTAAATGATTGTAAAACATTTGAAAACTAGCATAAATGCAGTGAGAGTTTTCATGTAGACATTATTTTTCTAAGAGAATGCCATTATTAATGTGTCCTGTAGAAAAACAAATGTAACTGTGGTATACATAGTAAAATAGGCCAGCCAGCAACTGGAGCAGAACCTGCGGGTAAAAAATGAGGTGAGTGATGATGAGCTACAGCTTATGATGTCAGTAATTGAGATTTATATAACTCTGTGTACTATATATTTACATATTGTAATTGTACATTTATTGTGTATAAAATAAACTTTATTTAATCCATGACCATCTATTATTTATATATTTTCTTTACCTCTTTCTTGGAATTTAGGAAGGAGACAAACAACTTATAAGGGAAACATCCACACATCAGCTGAATTCAGAACGCTATGTTCATACTTTCAAGGATTTATCAAATTTCTCAGGAGCCATAAATGTCACCTATCGCTACTTAGCTGCCACACCTTTACAAAGAAAGCGTAAGTATCCTTAAACATTTAAATAAAGAATACATAAAATATTTTGCATTAAAATAATGACAGTTGGCTTTATATGTATAGTAAAAACAGGTTTAAGGGCTTTACTAACATAATAAATTCTTTGGGAAAAACTTTAATGTTTCTTCACAAATTACAACTACTGTACTTCAGATCTAATACTCTTAATAACAAAAAAATTAAATAAAATGCCTAATCATAATGTGAGTCTTTTGAGATTTTGTTGTAGGTTGGTATAGAGCAACTATAATAAAAATTTACTTTAAAATTTAGAAGTTAATCTTAAAAATTCCTATGTTCTTATTGCTACATTTCCCAACCTCTAACAGTTTGATTTTATGACATGCCACAACTTTTGAATTAATGAAACTCAGTGTTTTAGTTCCCTAGGTCTGCCATAACTAACCACCACAAAGTGAGTGGCTTTAAAAATCAGCAATTTATTCGCTCATGGTTCTGGAGGCCAGAGGTTGAAATCAAGGTGCTGGCAGGGCCCCACGCCCTTGGAAAGCTCTAAGGGAGAATCCTCGCCTCATCAGTTTGTGGTACTTTTGCTTCTGGCATCTTTTGGCTTTGGAGCGTCACTCCAATCCCTGCATCCATCATCAATGGCCTCTTCCCTTTGCCTTTCTGTGACTTTTCCTCTTTTTATAAGGACAAAAGTTATTGGATTTAGGGTCCACATCTAAATCCGGAATTATTGCATCTCAAGATCCTTAACAAATTATATCTGCAAAGATCCAATTTACTAATAAAATTACATTCTGAGGTTCCAGGTAGGCATGAATTTTTGTAATAAACTATTTAACACACTACAGTCAGTTAAAAAAAAATATATATATATATATATTTGGAGCCAAGATGTAATATACTATATTTCTAGGTATCATAGCTTATAAAAAGTAGGATTATTTAATTAGTGTACCACTAAGAAGGTATAAGCATTACAAACTTCAATTATAATGCTATAAATTGTAGTATGCAGCCTGATTTTTAAGTGTTTCACTTTGTAAAATACAAGTCTTAGGCTGGGTTTGATGGTTCATGCCCGTAATCCCAGCACTTTAGGAGGCCAAGACAGGTGCATCACTTGAGGCCAGGAGTTCAAGACCAGCCTGGCCAACATGGTGAAACACCTTGTCTACTAAAAATACAAAGATTAGCCAGTTGTGGTGGTGCACACCTGTAATTCCAGCTACTCAGGAGGCTGAGGAGGCCTAGGCACCAGAATCGCTTGAACCTGGGAGGTGGAGGCTGTAGTGAGCCAAGGTCTTGCCACTGCATTACAGCATGAGTGACAGAGCGAGACTCTATTAAAAACAAAAACAAACAAACAAAAAACAAACCTTAGAATGAAATATAGTGCTATCATCTTAATAAATTATGTGGAGACCACAAAAATTGACTTCTCTTTTAAGACTTATTTATGTGAGTGTATTTGTTATCACTAGGTCGAGGAAATCGTTGAATTAATTTAGATTTCTTAAGATCTCATTTCCTTTCATTCTACCATTTCAAATGTCTACTGTTCTTAGGCTTCTTTCTACTTGCCTAAGACTGCCATTCGCTGATCATCACTGATTATTAGAGAAATGCAAATCAAAACCACATTGAGATACCACCTCACGCCAATTAGAATGGCGATCATTAAAAAATCTGGAGACAACAGATGCTGGGAGAGGATGTGGAGAAACAGGAACACTTTTACACTGTTGGTGGGAGTATAAACTAGTTCAACCATTGTGGAAGACAGTGTGGCACTTCCTCAAGGACCTAGAAATAGAAATTCCATTTGATCCAGCAATCCCATTACTGGGTATATTTCCAAAGGACTATAAATCATTCTATTATAAAGACACATGCACACGTATGTTCATAGTGGCACCGTTTACAATAGCAAAGACCTGTGATCAACCCAAATGCCCATCGGCGATAGACTGGACAAGGAAAATGTGGCACATATACACCATGGAATACTATGCAACCATAAAAAACAATGAGTTCATGTCCTTTGTAGGAACATGGATGAACCTAGAAACCATCATTCTAAGCAAACTGACAGAAGAACAGAAAATCAAACCCCACATGTTCTCACTCATAAGTAGGTGTTGAACAATGAGAACACATGGATACAGGGAGGGGAGCGTCACACATTGGGGTCTGTTCGGGTGGTCCAAGGGAGGGACGGCACGGGGTTGGGGAGGTTGGGGAGGGAAACATGGGGAGAAATGCCAGATGTAGGTGACGGGGACGATGGAGACAGCAAACCACATTGTGCTGTGTGTACCTATGCAACAATCCTGCATGATCTGCACATGTGCCCCAGAACCTAAAGTACAATAAAAAAAAAAAACAAAACTAAAGCAAACACCATTAAAAAAAGACTGTCATTCATTTTTCCTCTCTGTTATACCACCTTCGCTTGAACATTGCTGATTCTCCTTTCCCCTTTTAAATTTATTAATGTTTATTGGCACATGTCAACTGCTTTCTACCAGAGGCAATGTAACACAGAGGATAAAAGAGTGGGACAGTTTGAATCCTGATGCAACATCACCTACTATGTGTACCGCCTTGCACGAGTCACCTTATCTCACTGTGACTTAGTGTCCTTGTCTGTAAAGCAGAATGATGGTAATAGCAAACCTATCCCAAAAGACCATTTTGACCATTTAAGACTCATATTACAGATAAAATGCCCCAACTCCTGCCTCTTATGTAGGCAGCATTTTATAAGCATTGGCCATTATTATTAATGAAGTTTGGTGGCTTAAAGTTTAATGGTACCAGATAACAGAAGTCAGAGTTGTAAGCCAAGGCATTTAAACAAAATGTGTAAATCACAACCTCTCTGACAAACAAAATTTTTTTTTGAATGGGGCTTTTTTCAGTATCGTACAAACCACATTATATAGGTGTCTATATTAAAACAATGATCTTGTTGCATATAAAGATTTCCCCATTTTCCAAATAGTGGTTTAGAAATGTTATTCAATTCTGATTCATATGAAAATGAGCTTTAAAAAGTGAAAATATTTTAATAGAATGACATCTAACACTTCTCAGAGGCAAACTGTCTTTTCTCAGGGTTTTATTTTATTCTCTAAGCATATTCTAATTGCTAATTTTAGATTTTAAATGTCTGAATAAAAATTTATCCAGGCAAAATTAGTATAAAATGTATTTCAAACTTTTTTTTAAGAAGCGATGCTTATGTCTTGGAACAATGTAACATAAGAGTTAGCTGGATGTGTCTTATAATACTGTTTGCTTTCTAATTTGTATACTAGGTACATTTCAAGATAAAATTTTAAAGTCCCATTGAGAATTCTAGTACAAAATAATGACAGCAAAAAAAAAAAAAATCTGAAAATATGTGATGTGTTCTATAAAAAATTTAAAGATGATTGAAATAATTGCTTACCCTTATTTTTCTTTTTTATCATTTAAAACTACTTTCTTGGTCTTAACTGTGAATGCTTTTCTCTTTTTGCAAAACAGAAAAACAATTTATTTACTTTATTTTTAAAAAGTAATTTGTATGTTATCTAAATACCTGTCTACCTTATCTAATGGGTGTATTTGAGATTATTAAGCTGCAGAACACCTTAAACCTTTTTTTAGAATTTTATGAATAAATGTTCACAGCAATAGGGCTTATATATTATTGTGCTTAAGATGCTAGTTATTTTTATATAAAATACAGATTATGTACTAAGCATAGCTTTTATATATTTAGCTTATTTAATCATAAAATGTTCTGTGCATATTTACTAGATTTACTTAATATATAATAGTAGCAAGTCTAAGGAATAAATATTTCTCTTTTCTTTTTCTAGTTCACATTTGTATTCTTTCTGAATTCTTTTTTGCAGGTTATCTTACAATTGGACTTTCTTCAGTAAAGCGAAAAAAAGGAAATTATTTACTTGAGACAATTAAGTCAATTTTTGAGCAATCCAGCTATGAAGAGCTGAAGGAAATTTCAGTGGTGGTTCACCTAGCAGACTTTAATTCTTCCTGGCGTGACGCCATGGTCCAGGATATTACACAGAAATTTGCACACCATATTATTGCAGGAAGATTAATGGTTATACATGCTCCAGAGGAATATTACCCAATCCTGGATGGCCTTAAAAGAAATTACAATGATCCAGAAGATAGAGTCAAATTTCGTTCCAAGCAAAATGTAGATTATGCATTTCTGCTTAATTTTTGTGCCAATACTTCAGACTATTATGTAATGCTTGAAGACGATGTTCGATGTTCAAAAAACTTCTTAACTGCCATCAAGAAAGTCATTGCATCCCTAGAAGGAACTTACTGGGTAACGCTTGAATTCTCTAAGCTTGGCTACATTGGTAAACTCTATCATTCTCATGACCTCCCACGTTTGGCACATTTTTTATTAATGTTTTATCAAGAAATGCCTTGTGATTGGCTATTGACTCATTTCCGGGGCCTGTTGGCTCAGAAAAATGTGATCCGTTTTAAACCCTCTCTCTTTCAGCACATGGGCTATTATTCATCATACAAAGGGACGGAGAATAAGCTGAAGGATGATGATTTTGAAGAGGAGTCATTTGACATTCCTGATAACCCCCCTGCAAGTCTGTACACCAATATGAATGTGTTTGAAAATTATGAAGCAAGCAAGGCTTATAGTAGTGTTGACGAGTACTTTTGGGGAAAACCACCTTCAACAGGAGATGTCTTTGTGATTGTATTTGAAAATCCAATTATAATAAAAAAAATTAAAGTAAATACTGGAACAGAAGATCGGCAAAATGATATTTTGCATCATGGAGCCCTAGATGTTGGGGAAAATGTTTTGCCTAGCAAACAAAGGAGACAGTGTTCTACTTACTTAAGACTAGGAGAATTCAAAAATGGAAACTTTGAAATGTCAGGTGTGAATCAAAAAATTCCATTTGATATACATTGTATGAGGATATATGTCACCAAAACACAAAAGGAATGGCTAATTATTAGGAGTATCAGCATTTGGACTTCTTAACCAATTAAATCAGCATGTTCGGTTTCTGAAGCAGGTCTTCCTGTTTCCTCTTTTGCTACCTTTGTCTTTTGGAGGAAAAGCAATGGATGGGATATGTTAAAAGAATCATTAATTACATTGGTAGTTTTCATTTATACATTGTTGACATAATTTTACTCTTAATACACACTTGTATTTATTTTAACTTCTGAACTTGAATATCAGTCTATAGCTAATGCTACTTTTATTTATATATTTTTTAATGTTCTTCATTTTAAACTTTCAACTGATTGTCAAAAGGTTAATATGAAAGATTTTAAATGAAAAAAATTTGTTGGATGATGATTTTTGAAAAATTGTCACCAACTGTATATACTTTCTCAAGATTTGATAATTCATTATATTATCAGATAGCTTTTATTAAGCATCTGTGGGAATATGCAGTTGGGATTATTTTTTGTATCAACTTTAGTTTCCATTGACTTCTGTATATCTACAATGAATACCTCCTCATAGAAGTGATGTCTTTAACACAGAATTTTTTGTGTAGGTGAGGCTATGGAAAAAGAAAAAAAATACTTAAAAATATCTCTCCCCTGATTATTTATATGAAAGGGGACATTGTTCATTGTTTAAAAACATTTAACTGAGCACCTATTGTTAATAAATTTTCTGGGGGAAGCAGTCTTTTTCTAGTTTCCCTTTTGCAAAAAAAAAAAAAAAAAAAAGAATAGTTAAGGTCAATATTTTCAGGTTACATTGAATACCCACATTTAATAGAATAAATTAGGTAAGGCCTAGAGTAGTTAGTTCATTCGTACAGACATTTTCAGTATATGCAGAAAATTTTTTGAAATTGATTTTATACATTTTGTATTAAAATTCATGTGATTGAAAGTATTGTGATTTATCATATACTTTTTTGGAATTTAAATGGTTATATTATAAAGGAAAAAAGTAAGAACCATAGAAATCAGTTGACTTTTCTAGAATTAAAGAGCTGTTTCCTACCAAGGCCAGAATGAGAGATCTGGTATTCTGATAACCAGACAACGCTCTTCTTCATATGATTTCTCCTGACACGATTTATGTTTTCTGTGTTCTATTTGCTACATGAGTCTCAGAGAATAAGTTATGCCATCTGGAAATAGCTGGTACAATTCTTGCATAAATAATATATCCTAAATAATGTTCTAAATGATTCTTTTTTGGTTTATGCCCCAAAATAATAAGCACACTTGACTAAACTTTTCCTAATAGGGATTGGAGAGTGTGTCTTTACAATGTGTCCATTAAAGTAATTCAGGACACCATAGTGTGTCCTAAAGACGTTGGTTTTCAGAATGTCCTGAGCTTCTCTCATCCTTTTAGTTTTTTAATGAACAGCAAAAACTAAGGGACGTATTATAAAGGGAAATGGAGGGTGCTTCATATATGTTTAAGAAACTCAAGTATGTGTTGATATAGATGACTGTGTGTGTGTGTGAGAGAGTGAGAAGGCTAGACACTTGATAGTAAGATAGAATGAGGAAAACTTCCTCCTCCTCCTTTCCATTCTGAAACACAATCCTTAAGATTTACTGGTATGCCCTGGTCCAAACAACATTAGGATATTTTTATTTTATTCATTCTCTGCAAATAAATGAGAAACTCAGATAAAAAATGGACAACACTTTCTTTCATTCATACAACAGCTGTTGTGTATTTTCTTTGTATCCAGGTACTAAAGTGTTAGGGGAAAAATGAATCTTTCATAAAATGCAAATATTTTGTGGGGCATCTAAATATTAAAGTCACAGGAAAATGTGAACACTGTCATTAAACTATTAGTTTTATCGTGATTTAGAGGATACTTGCCAGATCCCTAAAAATGTTCTATTTTCTTTATTTTTCTCATCTTTTATTAACTGGCTAGTTGATGGTATTTGTGTGTATATCTCAGCAGTGACAAATGGTATTTTCTTCACTGTCAACGATAAAAGGTACACAATTGTATGCCAAAGACATATAATATCAAGAGCTAGGCATACTCCATGAAATGAATTGTAACTTTTACATATTCTTCTGGGAGTGGCTTTCTAAAGATCAGCTATTGGTGTCTATCAATGTCTTTAAAATGTTTCAAGAAAGATTGCTGAGCATAGCAGTGAAGTTGGATGTTTGTTAGGAAATCATGAAAGCAAATGTGACCCACAGAGGTCGTTTTACATTTTATCTTAATACCTCTCCTTACTAACCTATGTTTGGATAAGTTGATCAATCATCCATGGATGCCTCTATGCTTTCTTTACAGGTTGACATTGGGTCAATTTTCTAAGGAAAAGCCCTTGACAAGTGAACTTCTTCATTAGGGGTCAACAGGGAAAAAATATTCTCTTTCAAAAGAAAATCTAAACAATTTTTTTACATGGCCAAATGTTCTATTTCCTATATTTAGAAACTTTGAATAAGGTTCTAGTCATCTTGTCCCAGAGGCATAGAAACAAAAGTACAGTTGTTAGGCTTAACTACACTCAATCTATTTTCTATTTTTAAATATTTTTGCTGTAAGTGTATATATATAATTTTTTGTTAAAAATAACCATTGGAAAGGACTGGCATGAGACATGAATAGTTGAGTCATTTAATTGCCATGCAAATAAAATGCTAACAGGTTTCAAACAAAAAATATAGTATATACCTTAAACAATGCCTCAGATTTGTATAATTTAAGCTGACTAAAAACCTTATTTACACTTAAAATTCTCCTTAACGGAGCCTTTTCAGTATTTATGGACATCAAAGAAAAGTGTCTTGTAAAAAGCACAATGAAATTTAGAAAATACACATTTTAGTAGCAATCACAAGTGTAGATTTAAAAGCATACATAAAATATGTTAATGCAAGCACTTTTTCATTCCCATTGAAAACTATGACCTTGTGCTGTTTGTAAAGTAGATATTTTCCAGGTACAAAAATATAATTTGGAAACCACTGTATCATTTAGATCCATTTCTTTCATATACCTACACTACAAGTTGTGAACATTCCATTTCTTAATGGACCAATATTTTCTGGGAACTTTTATAATGCTGTCATAGAAAAACCATTCTGTATAATAATGTCATATAAATGAAACAAATATTTGCAAACTATATGATGTGTTAGGGAAAGCACCTACATTTTTAGATGCTCAAATAGCACACTTCATATCAATATTTGTCAATTTGTCAACAAGTTTATGGCAAAGAACATGAAACCCAGGATTAACACTGAAAACACTACACCCAAAGCCATCTGACAATTGACAAAGACTGTATAATACTCTTCCTTTGCCTTGACAACACATCCATTGATACATTAATGGTACCATACTATTGAGTAACAGAGCTCACACTTAAATTTCATAATATTTATTATGTGATCTAATGATAAAATGATTTACCATTCTGTACAATTTCAACTGATTTCTGGGGTTTTCTTTTAAGATTTAATATTAATTTTAGGATAATTCCATCCTCTTTCTTTTGACTCATGATCCCACACTTTGCAGATCTTGCTTCTTTCATTCCATGTCTTATTATACCCCCCCAGCATAATGGTCAAACAAATTTAATGTTCTTCTTCATGGAAGACAAAACAGAAATTTCATGCAGACTTGAGTTAGAAACCTAATTCTGTATTACCAGTCTTCAGATGTGAGGAAAGTTACTTAGCCTTCTTGAAACTCAGTTTCTACATCTGTGAATAGGAATAATTTTACCTCGTAGTTTTTAAAGGTGGCAGTTTTACCTTGTAGCTCCTTGCAGAGCTGGAATTGAGATAATATAAACTAGGCATACAATAAATATTTGTTTCCTTTTTATCCATGTCATGTATATGTAACAGGATATGACCCTGGAAAACATTACCAGAGGCCTTCATCCTAATCAATAACAATTATAAAATTTACTGCCCATTAAAAATGTTATTCAGCCTTCCTTTTTGTATTTTGTCGAGATAATGTCATGTGTCATTATATAAACATTTTCCTAAAATCAACATAGATTCCTGTCATCCCAATTTATTCCTCTAGAAACTTTATCAAAAATATCAAAATGCCCCTAGTGCTCTCATCACAAATAATAATATTCATTTCCGTTTTAAGATATCTCAACACATTTACGTTGAAACAAACATTAAGTCATTTTCTAATTTACAAGATTTTGCTCATATCTACCTTAAGCTCAGAGATGCAGTCTTCAGAATCTTTTTCCTTGTTTTTTCTTTAATGTCAAAGTCTGGTTTTCTAGCATCTTTTCTATAACTAGCAAAAGTTATCAATGCACTGACCTATAAATTACCTGGACAATGATCTTTGAAACAGGTAGCTTATCTCCTGGTCTACTTTGAGTTTCAATGTTGAGTTTTCCATTGCTTTGAATTTCTTTGTTCAGTTTGAGGTTATTCTTTTTAGGAAGGAAAAGGCCATAACAAAATTCAATGAGATTAGGTATTGCCATTTATTTCTTTTTTGTTTTTAAACATGTTTTCACTTATCCCAAATGGAGGATATATTTTTTATTATATTTTTTACATGCTTTGAAATGATTTCATCATTGTATATGTGCACATGGGTCTACATATGGTTAAATCTCTCAATCTATGTGTATGTATATGTGTGTATATATGTATGTATACTTGAATATGTGCGTATATATGTATATATGTATACATATATACACTTACGTATTTGTATACGTGCTGTGTAAGTGTGACTGTGTGTGCGAAAGAGAGAGAAAGACAGAGGGAGATGCATCATTTGCATTATTTTTTAGCCTGTTACACCTCCACTTATTCTTGGATTTTCCTGACACATTGTCCTCTTGGTTGTGTCCCTCTTCTGAACTTGCTTTAGCTTTCATGTTCTCTCCCACATATTTTAAACATGACATCCTCTGAAAATCATAGCACATTAGAGATTTTTGTGCATCCTTTTAGATACTTTAAATTTCTTAAAAGTTTACTAGAGGAGGCCATCCCAAAAACAATTTGTCTTTTAGAATTTCAGGTTTCGAATTTTTATTTGAATGCTTTAAAGATCAAAATATGAGTTGCAAAGTATTCTTTTTCTAAACTATAAAAATATTAAGATAACAAGGTTACACTTTCCTAGAATTCTAGTCCCTTCCACCTCATTAATCTATTTCTCATGTTTACTCCAAGTCTGGGGTAGAATTTACTTCAGTAATCCCAATATTTTCTGAGATGTTTAATGTCCCATTTTTAACATTGAAATTGAAATATATATTTGAGACCATTTGCCAGATAACTGGATCTCAATATCTTTTCTGAAAAACATGGAGTTGAGAACAGAGTAGTTTTTGATTTGACTCATTTCAGCTTTCATTTCATTCTGTCTAGATGCTCTCTTGGAAGATTTACCCAAATGTTAAATTTTTATGTGAAAAAGTGATATGTAAACTGTATATGCCCATAGAAGTACAATTACATTAAGAAAATAGCATGATCAAATTTTCATATTTTATTGGATTAAAAAGTACCCTAAATAGCCAACTCCTTTAAAGTAGGTGAGCCAAAGACAGAATAATTAAATATTCAATATTTTTCTATGAAATTAAAAATATTAATTCATCTTTAACCACAATAATTGACATTACCTACAATCATTCTGCCTAACTACAAATAATTACAGTTTTGATGTATAAAAATTGCAAAATCAATGCATAAATAAAGCAATAGAGGCTGAGAGCATTCATAATTGAAACCTAACTATTACAAAAGTATTTTAAATATTTAATTTATAGTACACTCAAAGTCCTGGAAGAGATGTAGGGATTTGTATCTTCCACTCTTTCCCCCACTTTACTACGTATCATTAAGCCACCTAATCCACAGCACAGAGATATGTGGCAGTTCCATTTTCAATCAACAAAGTTGTAACTCTATTACAAACTAGACATGTAAAAAATACTTTTATTGTAACTTCATCTGAGTTTTCTCATGGAATAATATATGATCATTTTTCTCTATAGTATGTTCTCAATTGGAAAATATTTAAAGTAGTACATGTCTCTTTTTTTCCCATAAAATACCCCACATTTGTTTAACTATTTGATATAGTCCTATTTTTTCCATCTTTAATAATTGATAAGATTTTCCCTACTTTTATTTTCTGCCACACTTAAACTTTGTTATTCCACATTGTTTACTTACTTTATCAATGAGTGAAAGCATAGTCTGACAAGTTAGAATAATTATCTCATATCCTTTATCATAATTGTCCATCCTTTAAAGTAATCCGGTTTTCAATACAAGTAACACTTGCAGTCTTACAATTGTGCATTTTTTGTCACAAAAGGACCACATTACATGATATCAGCAGTTGTCAGGAGTTATTCACTACTGTTAGAAAATAAGCTCAACAATGTAAACTAACCCCACACTTTAACAATTAATATTGTTGAATGATATTGAAGTATTATATCTTTATATTTAATAATGAAGCAATATATTAAAAATAATTAAACCTCCAAAAAAGTATTTTTATTTTTAAAAATCAGTCTCAATTTTCAAAAGGGCACTTGATATCTGCTAATAAAATGAATAGCTTTTCTGCTAATAAAAAGAAAAATATCTGTAAGCTTAGCTCTATGTAGAAGTACATGATAAAAAAGTTTTCCATTTT